TCTCCTAATCTCGGAAGGCGCGTCTCCGAGTATGTCTCTGTTCGGCACCCCACTCCCCAGTGGAGCGGATCCGCCTCAACCTACTTCAGCCGAGTCGGGTCCTGAGGCACCTGGCTCGGCGTCAGCTTCGTTGGCTAGCTCGGCGATGATACTTCTTGCCACGGCTGCGAATGTTGCATCTCCTTCCGCAGTTTCCCAAGGGATGACGTCTGCTACGACGCCACGCCCCCAATCGTCGAGTCCGCTGAGCTCTTCCCAGTTGTCTCAGTCGGGTTCTACTCACTTGGAGTCCGGATCGCCGACCTTTCAGTTTTTTCTTCTTTTGACTGGGCGTACCGTGGGTATCGTTCAGGACTTCATTTCGTAATTGTTCAGTATATGTAGTTTCGACACAGTAGTATTCCATCTCAACTCGGCCTGTGTCGTCCGCTGAGTTAATGTAACTTTTGGTTCAATAGCTGTTAATCCTCATCTGCAACTTGCACCATTTGCAGACGGTTTTCGCGCTTCTTCTGTCGTAGATAGTCAAACAGGAGACCCCCACATGACAAATTCGACAGTGGTTCCCAAGTAGGCTCATCGTAGCCGACCCACTTAGCTTTAAACTTCCGTTGTGATCGTGACGTACTCGTGGATAATGGTAGCCCATCGTCGAGAGTTGCTTCGACTTCATACTGGTTTGTACTTGTGTCTGGTTCCCAGCTGTCTTCAGGCAGTAATTCTTCGTCAAAGTCAAATCGCTGAGTCTCTTCGAGGTCGGCGATTAGCCTCGTCTTTGGTCTTCCGCCGAGTTCGGTGACTGCCTTCAGACGTGATACATGGACCACTGGGTAGAACCTATATCCACTCTTGTCGGGTAACTCCAATTCATAGGCGAATTCTTCCACCTTCTTCTTCACCCTGAATGGTCCATGCCATCGATGGGCTAACTTCTTGGTCAGGCCCGACTTGACTCGCTCCATAAACAACCAGACTTGATCTCCTTCTTTGAACAAGGATTTGGTGGATTCATCGCCTGGTTCTGCAACTTCATCTTCGTCATCTGATGTGTTGGGAATGGATCTTTTTCTCCTTCTTGCTCAACGCTTCGTTGTGCTCTCGAGCTCGTCGTGCTTTCTCTCGCACTTGGAACTCAGCTGCTAATCGAAGTGCCACTTCTCGTTGTCTGTTCGCTTCTCGGCGCCACTCGACTGCGTCCGCCAAGTGTGACTGGGCGTCCCTGTCCACGTCGTATTGAGCTCGTGAA